CATACTACAGAAATTGCCTTCAACTTTGATATGACCCAATCATCATATCAACTACTCCAGAATCCTCATTTACATAGGTATTTATAATCACAACGCCAGGTCAAAGGAGTACAAAAAATGAAACACTATTTATATATCAGATTAGTTTTCAGGTTAGAACTCACTATTGGTTCGCTGCTCTGGTTTCAGTAGCCACACAAGCATGAGAAGGAAAGCAGACTACAGCAACACTGATAATCATGTTCACTATATAAGCAATTCCATAGTTTCCTCATGCAGCCATTTTTTTGTTCAAAACTGAAGTCCAGCTTTTCGTGGAACTACATCCTCCACTGCAATGTAATCCGTATTGACCAAGGTGTTATACAAGTAGTACACTTCCTTGTACGTCACACAAATTATACTTGTGTACTCTGATAACTTCTGATTTACTACCTCTTAAAAAGAAAAGTCAGTTGCTCTCTCATAAGCCATATGACATAGGTTCAGCCTGCCAAGGTTCCCAGTTTACTGGATACAGCAGCCCATAGATTTAGACAGTTACACAACAAGGACTTGAATTACATCAAAATTGCTGATGGTCTTTATCTCTGGAGAAAAACTCATCAAGATACCAAAAGATTCAAGAAAAGAGTAATGAAAACTTCAAACTATCCTATGAAATTATCTCTTGTAGATCTTTGTAGTCATTCAACATTATCTCTTCAGTATCTGAATTACAGCCTGAATGTGAAAGTAAAATCAGAATTCTCCTTCCTGCCCTGTCAAACTCTCAGCAATCCAGGGCCAAGAGTTGTGATGGTGCCAACAGTGTTGAGCCAGTCAATCAATCATCCTGATATCCAGATATGTCACTAAAGGCTGCACCTAAGAGAGCCAAACCCAGAGGCATATAAGCATACAGATAACCAGTCCAGGCAAGGTGAGGTGGTGTTTTCCAGGAACACTGGTTAAAAAAGCAAACACGTGCATCCAGAACTCTAATAGCAGTACATGCTCCCTGAGCAGGTGATACGTGCATGCTGAGGTGTACTCAATACTTGTACACCAGAGAATAATCCAGTAGAGTTACAGAACCAGCATTGCAAATGCATAGAACAACTGCATGCATTACAAAACATAGAACAAGGAGCAATTAAAGTAGTGGAACTAGTAATTTTACCTGACTCTTTTTTAAAATGAAACCTACCATTTTTATCTCTGTTGCCACTGGTATGATAGAATTTATTTGCCTTTTGAAAACAAGTATGGGTACATAATCACATAAAAACCTATATAACAGAGGTAACTATCAAGAGAACAAAACACGGCACTAGATGGGGCTCACACAAATCTCTGAGGTAACACCGGGACTGGCTCAGTGCCCCTCATCCCCATGTGACAACTCCAATAACGGAAAGGAACCAAGTGCTTTTCTTGTCAGACCCTGGACTGGTCTGGACCAAATCCTTTCCCTTCCAGAGTGATCAGACCACAGTTGCATTTGAACAATAGAGACCAACTAGGTCTGCCCTATTTCCAAGGATCATGAGCCTACTGTACTTCATTGCCATTGTTTTTTTCCACCCAATTCGTTCCTCAAACACAATGAGCTATAAACAATGAACAGAGTAGTTTCCTGAGACTTCAGAACACCTTTCTAGAAGTTTTATACTTACACTAGGGGCTTTTCCTCTTCTGGAGTTGTGAATCAAGTAGGTTTTGAACAAAAAATGGCTACACAAGGAAACAATGGAATTACTTATACAGTGCACTACATAAGCAAAGAAATTTGGTTTTTGCTAATATAAATACCAAAATACTGTGTACTATTCACATTCATTTTTTTTTCACAAAAAGGTGTCTCTTGATGGAATTTTTGAACCCTCTATGACCCACAAATTTTTCCATTAATACTCCTAAATCCAGCAAGAATGTTAGTTACAGTTCTTTATCTTTTATATCGAGTGCTGATGCTGCATGCTGTAAACTGCCTTGCTGATATTTTTGGTTCCTTGTAATCCTCATCTGCAAGGCACAGTCACTTCTTGACTACATCTTCCTCTATTCTGCCTCTTCCCTTTTTGCCTTGCACACTGATAAACACCCACCCATCTACTAACACCAACAAAAATAGCACAGACCACAATATTTAGTGCCCTCCCATTTTGCCTTGCATTGACTTTTAAGATATTACACAATGTTATTAAGAGACACCAAAAGCAGCTTTTATTATACCCTACTTAATTCTTCTTTTCAGGAAAAATACCAGGCAAGAGACAACTACTGACTGGTCCCAAAAGAGCGGGTGCACAAAAACCTCTGGCAACACATGTGCTCTTGGCAACAGCTAAGTAAACCTGTAGTAAAAAAAAAAAAAAAAAAAAAAAAAAAAAAAAAAA